ATATTTATTTTTCCACTGCTCGAATTTTCTGAATTGGTGTGATCGCTTCAAGTTCCTTTTATGCACTAATAAGGGGCCAAGTATTGTATCGTTATTATATATAGGCACATTCAGAATTAAGTGGGATGTAGATTAATCACTCGCCAATTAATACACGATACCTTCTTCACGCAATTCTTCTATTATCGATATTATCTCATTATCGTGACCGGTGTGACCAGCCATTTTAGAACTCCACAATAATCGCAGGCGGTCCACCAATTCTTTGATATCATTCCAATAAACATACTCTTTTCGCTGTTTGCCTGCGAGTTCATCAGAGGGTAATGTTGGTTGCAATATACTTCCTCCCCCTTTTTCACCATGGTGCAATTGTTGATTCCTCATTTTATATGGTGTGCCTATCAGTGGTTTGATCACCTGCTGATATTTCTTCTTGGATTGTGTGCTATCATTTAACCCTTCCCTAATATCATAGTTCCTATATGGTGCCCTTGTATTCTCCAATAGGGCTGCGTATAAACGTTTATCTTGATCGTTAATGGATCTTGGCACATGTTTCATAAAAATCAAATTATATAGCTCAATGGTGGCCGGAAAAACCTTGGTTCGCTTATTTCCGCGCCATAATTCAATTTGACCTGCAGGAAAATGAATGTCCATGTTGCCCATCTTCAATTTTCCCGTTTGTTCATCAATATAAACACCATATGTGGTGTCATAATTAGGATCATGGGATACTAAATTATCTATATGTTTTTTCAATTGCACCTGTAGCTCGCTTGTGATTGTTTCGTCTACTGCTGTAGCAGCATCACTCTTGGAAATATGAGAAGAAGATGATGATGGCGGTGTTTCCAGTCCCGTTATAAATTTGGGCTGGCTATGCGATGTCAAAGAATCATTTCCACTGAAACTCTCCCGCGTCATGAGTTTTCTAGGAATCTTGGTGGTAGTAGTAGTGGTGCCGATTCCCCCATTTTCTGATACCGGTGTCGAATGATATGTAGGATGTGCTATTATTGATGTTGAAGGTTTCTTGTTTTTCCCTGTTGTGGATGTGGTAGTAGTGATTTGAGATTGATTTCTCGCTGCGGCTGCTGAAATAGCATTCAATGGCTTCGTCAATGGTTCATACACTCTCTCCAATGCCGTTTGGTTATCAATTCGTTCGTTCTTGAGACTCTTGAACTTTTTTCTCACTGCAGCAGTCGCTTCAACAAGTTGCTGTTTGAGATTTATCTCAGAAGTCATCGTGCTTTTCTGTTCACTAGATGCGGCCATTGTGGTATCTGAAGATTGAATGAATCATGCTGCACCAACATACTAGAGATATATAAAGCTATCGAATCCTTTCCTATAACGCCCCTCATGTATTTCACTGTCCTTATCGATAACGAGAAACCCGTATCTATCCGTCCAACTCTGCGCGCACATATCTTGGAATTGTTTGAAAGTCACATCTGGCGATACGTGATCGGAAAAAATATGATGTAAATTCATGTCATCTTGTTTGAACATCACTATGAAGTTCGAATTGTCACGCAATAATTGCTTCCCAACTTTGGAATAACTCTGTGCCAGGAAGAAACAATCCACATTTTTGTGACGCCCCATTGAGAAATAAGATCTGATAACATCCTGTTTTTCACATATAACATCATCGAATATGAAAATGCTGTCAGGTTTCGCATCTGCCGGTTCAACTATGTCCACATTATTATTATACGTGTGAAATCCTAACCCTTTAATCGGTTCCATCACTTTTCGCAAGTACTCATACTTTGGTTGGTATAGTCATTTCGAATAGATATAAATATTGGCAAAACGTAAACCATTTTCATTGGTCAGAAGTGAAATCATAACATTGGTTTTCCCGCAATTCGATGGGCCAATTATCAGACCGCGAATAGTATTTGGGAAAAGGGCCCCATGTCGACGATTGGTATCAATACCTAACCCTATTTTTTCATCAAAATTGGCTACACTGAACGTTTCCTTTTGCTGAACAATCCGCATTGTGCGGTGGTTGAAAGATATATAAAGAAGCGCTAGCGTTGTGAAGCTCATTTATATTATGAAAGTGAAACGTAGCACATCGAAAACGAAGAAAGGAAAGAAAAGGGGTAGAGGGATTGTTAACACACTGATCAATAAATTACCGTTTGAATTGCATATTCCTGGTGGTTATCAATATTGTGGACCTGGAACGAAGTTACAAAAAAGGTTAGCTCGCGGTGATCCTGGAATAAATCAATTGGATAGAGCCTGCAAGGAACACGATATTGCGTATCTTAAGAATACAACCGATTTATCTGCTAGGCATTCAGCAGATAAAAAATTAGAGGAAGCCGCGTGGGAGAGAGTAAAATCAAAAGACGCTAATCTAGGAGAGAAGAGTGCATCCTGGTTAGTTACCAATATAATGAAGGGAAAGAGGCGCTTTGGTATGGGGTGTAATAATGGAGTGAAGAATCGACGAGTATCGAGAAGGAAGAGGAACAATAAAGGGAAGAAAAAGTGTAGAAAAATTGCTTTCGGATCGGGTGTAGTTCAAAAAGTTCGCCGAGCACTACGTCAAATGGGGAATAAGAGAAAACTCACCAAAAACTTGACTAAAACATCACTAATGGCGATCGACGCTGCTCGAAAATTTGTAAAGATGGCTGGCGGGAAAAAAAATATCAAAACACCCCGAATCATACCTATCCCAAAAGTTGGCGGAATTCTTCCGCTCATACCCATTTTTGCCGGTTTATCAGCATTGGGGAGTCTGGCTGCGGGTAGTGCCGGTATAGCTCGAGCTATTCATTCAGCTAAAGAGAGTAAGGAGCAGCTGGCTGAGGCAAACCGTCACAATAAGCATATGGAGGCGATCGCTCTCGATAAAGTCGGCAGAGGAGTCTATTTGAAACCATATCGGAAAGGAATGGGTATTTATCTCAAGCCCCAGCATTCAAAAAACTAGCCAAGTTACCTCGGAGAGCTCTTACAGACATTGATCTATTGCATTATATAGATAAAATGGCGGTGCCGCACTTTCGAGGTATTTTCATGAGAGATAATCTACCCAACTCTGGCCCACATCGCATAGAATCAGCAATACTGAATCTCGATAGTATTCGCGGTGATGGTACACATTGGGTTGCATATAAGAAGAGAAATGGGATAGTTGAATATTACGATAGCTATGGGCATTTGCCGCCTCCTGAGGAGTTGTTAGAATATTTAAGGAAAGGATCGAAGTCGGTTAAAGCCATCAAAATCAAGTATAACTATGAGCGCCAGCAGGATTTCAACACAGTCTGGTGTGGTCACCTGTGCTTGAAATTTCTCTCAGCTAACAGTGGCATCAGTGAAATAAAAGTTGCAAAACATGGATAGGCAGAGTATCAAGCGGATGGGACATGCATTATTGGCTTTTTCAAGATTACGCTCCTTACTGGAAATAAGTGAGAAACAGTTGGCTGATATGCCGAAAGAAGTACTCATCGGGTTGGCATCACATGAGATAGCTATAGTGTGGGATAAGTTACCGGAACAATTACAAAACGATCCGGATATAGCCAAATACCGATTTTGTGAAGAACATTATGGTGGAGAGCAGGAGGAGGGTGGCCAACATGCCAACATCGATGTGAATGATGGACCAGCGCCAAGAAAAATATTATGTTGTTTTTGTCAAGTGAAAGATGTAAATGTGGCAACTAATAATAAATTTGATATTAATTCTTCGCCTACCGAAAACCCGGGCATTCTCCATTGTTGCAGGCAGCAATAAGGTTGATGCTCTTAACGCTGCTACTGTATATATTGACGTTTGTTTTTGGTTTTCGCTGTTTTGTTTGTTTTCTCCATTCATGAGAAGTTATGTCGCAAACATTTACCATTTCTGGAGATCGTAGTATCCTGAGTGCAGACTTTTTTCCACCAATTGAGCTCGATGTGAGGAATACTTACGGTTTGGAGTTACACGGGTTCTATTCATACAACTCTATACTCAATATAGATGAGACAAATAACAAATTAGTTGTTTGGTATGAAGGGGAAAGCTTTCTAGTTGAAATACCACCAGGCGCCTATGAAATAGAAGAAATCAATAGAGCAATACAAAAGGCTATAGAAAGAGGGGTTCCGCTAAATGGGCGAAATATTGATGATGTGTTCTCTCTTCGTGCCAACAATAATACGCTCAAATGTGAACTCAAGTCCGAATTCATGATAAGTCTAGATATTGCTACTTCTATAGCCAAAGTGTTGGGTTTCAAATCGGGATTTTACCGGCCCAATATTTTGCATGAATCCACTTTACCTGTGAACATCATAAAGGTACGATTGATACGGGTTGATTGTAATATCACCACTGGAGCATACCTCAATGGTGAGGAGGTTCACACGCTTTACGAGTTCGACGTCGACGTGGAGCCAGGATACAAACTTTCAAAGGAGCCGAAAAATATAATATATCTACCAATCAGTCCGACAGGGCGTCAGTCTATCGACAACATCACACTGAGAATTTTGGATGATAACGATCATTTAGTCGACTTCCGAGGAGAGAAGATCATAGTGAAGTTGGAATTGAAACAGCTAAATTAAATTTTCTACGTCGATTTGGAAGATGGGCTTCTGCTTTGGAAACCAATCAAAACGTGTATCGATCGCTACTCACCCCACTATTCTGCACATTACCAATAAGAAGAAGTGTAAACGTGGGAAAGGATTCAGTCAAGGGCAAATCACCGGTCGAGGAAGACATCATGAGCTTTCTGCGAGCGACCTAAATTTTTTGAAGTCTATTGGGTTGAGAGTAAAACGACGAAGGATCAGAAATAAGTGAACGATGGTTGCCACAAGTTCTACTAGTTTACAATTGGAAGTGTTTGATGAACCAATTTTTGATCATTCACTAATTAGCCTACATGAGCATACATACAAACCATATGGTTCTCCATCATTCAAGAATTCCGATGAAATTAGGATTGCTGTCAATTTTCAAGATTTGATACTGGATATTGCTGAAAGCTACATTTATATCGAGGGAAAATTCATCCCGAACGATTTAGCAAAAACCTGCCATCTGTCCAATAATGCGCTCGCATTTCTGTTCGATGAAATCCGTTATGAAATGGGTGGCGAACAGGTGTGTTTGATTCGAAAACCGGGCATTACCACTACAATGAAAAGTATGATATCTTATGGTGAGACAAGCACCAAATTTTTAGACACGGTTGGATGGGGTCTCGATGAAAATAAACAGGTGATTCTAGATACACCCAGTCATACATTCAGCGGAAAACTACCGCTTAAATTTTTAATGGGGTTTGCAGAGGACTATAATAAAGGAATTCTGAATATAAAGCAGGAGCTTATACTCATCATAGCACGCTCATTCAAAAACTCCTATATGGGGGAAGTTGATGCGAATGTGACGATCAACAAAATCGAATGGAAGATAAGGCATGTGATGCCGTCCGATAGGCAGAAATTGAAGTTGTTGAATCGATTGAATAAAAGTTCTACAGCAAAAATCAAGTTAGCATACAGGATGTGGGATTTGTATGAGTTACCGGCCATTCGTGAAACAGCTTCAGATATTTGGGCTATCAAAACAACTAGTAGCCTCGAGCGCCCGCGATACATCATTATCGGTTTTCAATGCTCCGATAATACAGATGATAGATCCAAGGACGCTACGAAATTCATTCACGCAGGAGTGAATAATATTCGCCTTTACTTGAATTCAGAAGTTTACCCATATGAGCGCTGGAATTTGGATTTTGACAGAAAGTTAGATGCTGTGGCTTACTATGCATACGAAAATTTCCAACGTAGTTACTATGGCAAAGATATGGGTGAACCAATGATGAGTATTGAGGAGTTCCGAAAAAATCCGTTATTCATCATCGACTGCTACCACCAACCCGATGCGATGAAAACTTCTACTGTCGACATCAAATTGGAGTTTGAAACCCGCGAAACGAAGTTTCCACCAAACACAAAGGTTTACGCACTTATTCTTCATGACGCATATCTGACATATAGCGCATTAGATGGTTCCATACAGATGGGTGCTCCTTGAATACGATAGATGCGGATCCACTCCTCACTGACACCGCCACCGTCATCACATTAGTTATTAGATCTCTCTTCATGAAATTTATCATTACTCAATCTACTCGATATTGTTATTCATTGTAATCAATAAAATACAAATGTACTAAAAACTATTGTTTTATTTTTACATCAAAATATTATCGGCATTACACATTACGCGAAAATGCTATATAGATGCCCAATTCACCCCCTTTGTCCCCCTTCATCTTCAGTGTCTGGAATCACCCCCAAGTGGTATTTCCGAATCAGGCTGTTTGGTAGCAAATCGAAGATTTCATAAAGACATTGTTCCAAGTCTTCTTCAACCATTGCTTCAAGGAATTGCTCCAAAGTAATGTTGCTGTATTCATAGCGGGCACATAGTAGAAATCCAATTTTATATTTTTCAGCTTGTTTGAGGAGGCGCTGAACTAGTACTTGATCGAAGCATACACTCATATCATAATTCCCTGCATGTAGTGTATCACGCTCCAAATCCATGAATCGACATTTCAACCTCCTCACAGCTGATCTGATATCTTCCGCCGTAGGCCAAAACTGACTAGAATAATTCATACACATTTCGGGAACGTGTGCTGCACAAGAGTGATCAATTCTGTAAATAAACAAAACATTCAGGTAATGGATCACGGTGGAAAAAATGTAATGCTTGATTCCAATGTATGTAGCCAATATAACACTCACCAAAAAAAGTATCGAAATCAATGATGATTAGCGATAAAGTGATGATGTTAATGTAAGAATTATTATATAATTTTTAAACCTTTTTCACTACACTATATCGAAAAACTAATTGAGGAAATATGAAACTATTTGTCAATTACACCCCCCTTGACATCAAACTTGATGAGAGCCCGCGTCTTTGCACCTGCAAATGAAGGTTCACTCTGACCCAAGTACGTTAAAGTATAAACGCCGTTAGAAAAATTGATCTCATCAACATCGCTTTCTTTCAAAAGGTCTACAACTCTTTTTGGTAACCAACATTTTAAGCTCACCTCAGTTTCTTCATCGTACAATATAACGGTGCCACTTCTACCGAATCGAGTCCCACATAACGATATTTTCCTGATTATAAAACTCTTATTCAGTGGTAGCGACGATATTAGAATTTGTTTAATAATTTCATTTTCCTCATTAATTCGACTATTGATTGCGACTAGATCAATTTTAGGAGGAGCCATTTCTATTTTTACTTGTCGAGTGAAAGAAGGAATAAAAAATATATAAATAATTGAACTTACGTAAATCTGATATCACACTTTATCGCACTTCCACTGATCTGACAAGATTGTTCAGCCAGCAGTATTTTCGGAATAACTATGCACTTGAAGATGGGGATTCTGTATTTATAGAAACTCGGACATGGAATACCCCACTACACCACCAAACATCCTTGAGAAGAGGTACAAATGTGCACGAAAATTACTCCCCCCAAGGTCACCACGACAATTGTCCGAGATGAAACCTCCGTATCCCTCCCAAGGCCACTCCCAAGGTCACTCCCCAGGCCACTCCCAAGGTCACTCCCAAGGTCACTCCCAAGGCCACTCCCAAGGTCACTTCCAAGGTCACTCCCAAGGTCGCTCCGAATGTCACTCCTCCAAGGCCACCCCCCAAGGTAACTCCCCCCAAGGTCACTCCCCCCAAGGTCACACTCCTCTGGCCTTGGGGGGAGATTTGGAAATGGCTAAAGCCCTCTACTTATATTCCTTCACCAATCGGGAGAAATATTTTTAAAACAATCATTCTCCACCCAAAATTTTTCATTTTCAATGACAAACACTTTGTATATCTGCATTCAGAATGCTCTGAAATCATACTAGGAGAAATATCTTGCAAGAAACAATTTCTGTCAAAATCATGAAAGAAATCCTGCTCTGCAAAGTAAAAATGTTGCTTTATCCAGAAAATGTCACGAAATGTCATCAAATCCTAGTCGAAATTCAAGAAATCGAGATCCAAAAACTGGGGAAGAATACATGAATAATCAATATCCCCATGAAAACAGTAGCACAACAACAATGTGGGAAAGATACAAATAACGTCCCATTTGAAAAAACCTCCCTATTGAAATTGGATCCTGAAAGTGGAATCAGAAAAAAAGACATCCAGACCAGAAATAATCACAGTTCTCAAAGGCAAGTCAATAGAATCAATTTGCACAAGAGGAACAAAGATTTCCACGCCACTGAAGAATCAAGAATGAATTTCAGGCCATCAAAGATGGATTCAATCAACTTAGATGAGTTGGTTCATAACAGAAGTAAATTAGACATTCAGAACGAGAAACTGAATGTGGAGAAGATTCCTGTGATTGTCAAAAATATAGGCATAAGGACTTTAATGATGTATATTTTGGTGATCACTTCAATTGATTTCGTTGCCTTCAAGTACTTTATGTAGAAGCTACATCAGAAGACCCGATCAGGAAAACTACCCGATATATCTGAGATGGTGAATCCTTTATCCAACCCCGGATTTTCCATTTAAGCACGGAGTAGTTATGGTGGCACAACCACTTCATTGTATCAATCATCTCAATGATGATAGTCACTTGCAGACTTGCAGTTTGCCTCTGAATATTGAATGATGTATTCTTATAGGATCCATAACTACCGAGTACATTGAAGGCGACTTATTTTCTAATGGAAACATAAATCATCATGACATTTCCTAGGCAGAAACTCATGAAATACGTTCATGATTATATATAAGTGGTCTCATTATTCCTTATAAGAACTGCTGGGAACCCATTATATGAAAATCGTGTTTTGTCATCAGAATTCACGAATCTCCGAACTAGTTTTCTCACACAAATTTATTGAATACATTCAGTAGTAGGCATGCATTGTCTGATCAGAACTCGTAAATCCTTATGCAGAAATTCCGCATGATATCTGTCAACATACCATTGATGTCATCAATGTATATCATTATCAATACTCATGAATTCTGAAACACATCTGACCTCAGCTTGACTCATAGAATGCTCCTCATTCCTGGTCAGTACTGTTTCCTCAAACCTCTAATTCCCTCGGAAAATCATCTCATTCAAACTTATCAGATACTTCAATCCTTATACAGAGATAACGCATCAAACATCTCAACATATGAATACACTCAACGGTATATTCTGATACAGGAATAACGTGAACAACATCTCATTATACGAGGACAGTCAACGGTCATAACAGTCCATCCTTATCAACACTCATGAACTATAAAATGAATATTCCTCCATAAGATACGTTCCATTTTAGATCAATGGGTATTGTCTTCTGAAAATACTCAAGTTCTGAGAAATCACATATATCTAATATGAACTGGTCAGATACAATTCAGATCAGACATAAATTGTCTGATATAAACTCGTGAATCCTTATACAGATATCACGCATTGAACCTCTCAACATACCATTAAAGTATCTGTGCTGTACATCCTTATCAACACCCATGAAATTTCGAAACACATCTTGCCTCAGCTTGACGCATAGAATATGTTCCATTTCAAATCAAAATTGTCCTTCCAAACCTTGAAAATTCTAAGAACATTCACATTCCATACAAATTTTCAGAATACAATTCAGAGTAGGCATGTATTGTCCAATCAAAACTCGTGAGTCCGAATACAAAAATATCGAATTATTCTCATCAACACTCATGAGTTCTGGAACACTAATCAGTTCAGCTCTACACATCAGATACGTTCAATTTGAAATCAATTCCTCTTTTCATGAACACTCGAACTCTAGAACAAATATATACCGCATAATTAGAAACCAAGGATATCAGGGCAGCCGTTCCTCATCGCATATCAGAAATTATCGAACTCTCTCCACGCTCACTGAAATCCATCAAACTTTCGATTTCAAATAAGCCATGTTTCATCACAGATATGTTCACATAAGAGATATAGCAAAGATGAATGTCCGCCTCAGATGAAATTACAGACGTATATCAGTGATGCAATATCAGACTTGAACAAGATGATTCTATCTATATAATTCAGTCAACAATCCTCAGGACATTTGTGAAATATCAATATAATATATTTTTCTTCCCTACTCCTCCATATATTTAAGTCTATGGGAATCTTACCGGCAGATTATATGTCTTTGGAGTGATGCATATGGAACCTCAAATAACACACCTTCATACATTGGACATCCAATGGATATCCTCCCGGGACATCCTGTACATCCATAGGATAACCACTTTGTGTACACAGGACATCCTATGAATGTCCATAGGATATCAGCTTCATTCATTTCAGGACATACATACGGTGTCTATGATGAACATGCAATATCAGACTTGAACAAGATATGAAATAGAAATAGATTTATTCGAAATAGATATCCTAATATACATACAAAGAGATTATACAAATATATAAGTTTTCAACGAAATATATAAGACATATTCAGTATAATATAAGTGTATAAAAAGTTACAGTATTGAATGATAAAAAACATAACAGAGAAAAAGATGATGAATGATGAACAACTCAGTTGGAATCTCTCTCGTAGATATTGAGATAAGGAGTGTTTGCAGAGTTGGGGGGTGTTGATTTGTTCAATGTCATTTGGAAGTTTGTTATAATCCAGGAGCCCTCTATGAAATGAAGAGTTCATTGTTCTTACAAGGTTTGTTCGTGGGACAAACAAGTCATCCCTTCCTCTTGTAGCCTAGTCGTAAATCTGATGGTTATACGTAATGAATTCATTGAAATAATGTGGTGCTTCACCAGTGAGTATTTTGAATATAAATATCATTGTAAAATATTGTAATCTCTCTTTTACTGTCATCCAATTCAGAACATTTAACGTTGATAATATAGGAGTATACTTATTGCATTTTGATATCAAACGCATTCCTCTGTTT